ATCAATGTAATGGCAGAGTTTCACCTCGACAGGCCTTGGACGGCCGATTCGAGCCAAGCGAGCAACACACCAAACTTCCTTAGTAAACGTCCGCCACTCCACGTCATGCATGACGACGTGATTGCGAGCGTCTTGAAGACAAGGACGAAGTTCGGTGCTTTGACTGTCGCTTCTACCGGCACTGGTAGGTCGTCCTAGCTGCATACAGTCGATCGTCGATTGGTCATTTCGACCTCGCAGCGACAACGACGGGAGGTCGATTTCATTTGGCCCAGAGGCGCAACTCGGAGGCAACTCGCGGTTCAACCACCCACGACGTACAATAGGAACCAAGGAATACAAATCGTTAATAAGGATGGAGGAAGGAGATCTTCGCACCGCCGCAGGCGCTTGGCAGGGGTGCATGGGACTCGTTGGTGCAACTTCCTGGCGTGTCAATGTCTCGATGAATCGAGCCACGCGGGCATAGTCCTGCATTGTATCTTGGTGCACACCACTCGCAAACGTCAGTGACGTGTCCGGCGCAAAGCGCCACAGCGCTGACAAAGATGTCGGCACCAAACTTGTACTAGTACGTTGCTTCCTACCCGAGGGCGTTCGACGGTTGAGCGGCTCGGGCCACGGCGCCTCGTTGGCCAGTGCGTCCACCGAGACGTCAATGTAGAAAACGACGTGGTAGTTCAAGATCCCGTCGTCCGGAAGCTACGAGACGATTGACGCAGCGATCGGGAGCAGTCGGAGACCAAAATGTCGACCAAGACATCAAAGAGCGCTGCATCAAGACGGCCCGAGTGGTTCGCCAAGACAAGCATCCGGTCGCAATGTCAGCATTTGGTGCAGCAGCCTGGCCTTGTCGTGCGACGTCATCGGGGCGCGTAATTCACTGATGATGCAATCCATGACGGCGGATGGGACCAATAACGACGGTTGGCAGCGCAAGGCCGACGCAAGCCCGACGGCAAGGTTCTTGAGCGGGTCCAACACGTCGAGGACGAGACCAAGTGGCCAATCGACTGGCGCACAGCAAAGAGGAAGGCGTCGATAGCTGACACGAGGCCCTGCGGCTGACGTTGGCTCGCGTAGTTGGTGTCTTGGAGCTGCGGCGCCACTCGTGTCACGTAGTGCTCCAGCAAGAAGAGGCCCTGGACAAAGTCGCGGTCATGGATGACTGAAAGAGCTACTGAAAGTTGTTGAAGTTACGCTGCTTTTGAGAGCCTTCGAAGGGACATGATGGCGTTGCCGCTAGCTGCGAATCGGTCCCAGAAGGTCATAGACCACGTCTTCAACGGGTAGTATTAAGGCCCACAAGGCTATATACTAGCGCCTACATCGAGCTGAGAAGCAAGCCAGGACGATGGTTGAAGAAATGAGAACCAAGCCGCAAGAGGTACTCCCATCTACACATATATGTATGCATCCTTTTCTCTATACGAAGGAGATTGCTAGTCTCTACGTGTGCCAAGTCTTTGTGTCATTATGAAGATAGCGCGAAACACGTTCATATATACAAGACAACCAAAACCAGAGATGACACAACACACAACATTTGATATTAAAATCGTCTTACATCTGGAGGTGCGCCTGCTCGGCGAGCTTGGCAAACGACCCGTCCGGAATCGCCAGCAGCGCCGTCGGCGTGTCGTACTCGACGACGCGACCCGCATCGAGCACCAGAATCCGGTCCGAGTCGATGATCGTATCGAGCCGATGGGCGATGATGAGCATCGTGATACCGACAAAGCACTCCTTGATGGTCGCCTGGATGCGCTTGTCCGACTCGAGGTCGATGTTGGCCGTCGCTTCGTCGAGGACGACCACCTTGCTCTTCCGGAGCAAAGCGCGCGCAATGCAGAGCAGCTGGCGCTGGCCCACGGAAAAGTTGCTGCCGCGCTCGGCCACCTCGTCGTCCAGCGACGCAATGCCGTCACCCAAGTGCACTTGCTTGAGGACCGTCCAGAGCTCGTCGTCGGATGCCGAACCCGACGGATCCAAGTTGAAGCGCAACGAGCCAGAGAAGAGCACTGGGTCTTGCGGGATGATCGTGAGCCGCGACCGGAGCGTCGTCACCGACACGTTGGCGATGTTGACGTCATCGATG